CTAAAAACATAGTTTACCCTTTTTTAATATTTTGTTATCACTTACATTTTTATTATCTATTTTCTTGCCTATTATATAAACATAAAAGCTATCGGTGCATGTCGAATTGAATAGATTGGATCTATCAAAGAGGGCTAACAACTGATCAACGAGAATTGTTGAGTAACTAAAAACATAGTTACCCTTTTTTAATATTTGTTATCACTTACATTTTATTATCTATTTTCTTGCCTATTATAAACATAAAAGCTATCGGTGCATGTCGAATTGAATAGATTGGATCTATCAAAGAGGCTAACAACTGATCATTCTTTTATACCATAATTAAAAAAAGAAAAAATATCTAGATTTTGGAAAAGTTTTTTAATTTGTGTATGATTTCGTTCTAATGGAATTATACATTTCACCCCAAAAAAAAGCTGGTTTGTTTTATTGAAAATATATTTGATAAATAATTTTTTTTTCAAAAAAAATTATTTTTAAACAAATTTTCATTGTTTGAATGATATTAGTAAATTATTTTCATTGTTTAGTAAAATTTTAAATATTATTTATAAATAATATAATAAAAAGAATATTATTCATTATAAAATAGTATTATTAATTCTAAAATTTACAATAATTTAGTTATTTTTATTTAATAAAATATTATTAAAAATTACCAACAACTAATTGATCTAGTGAGACGATGTACTAGAATCTTTTAAATAAAATCATGAGTTTAAATCATGATAGTATAAATAGTTCGAATTGAGTTAGAAATTGTCTCATAAATAATTTTTTGTAATATTTTATTCGAATTAATTAATAAATAAATATATTAATAATTAAAAAATATTCAACATATGAAAAGCAAAGGGTGGTTCACTTAACATTAAGATAAAAAGACACTCATGCTACATTCCGAATATCTAGAGAAAAACATATTCAAAGTTTTTTGTATTATCGTCACCATTGAGGTATAGGTACCAATGAGTGTATTTTTTTTGTGCTTGTTTCGAAGTGAAAATGGGGAAACATATATGAAATATCCACATAAACTAGAGAAATAAATTACATATCGCAAAATGTAATGAATTATAAAATAAACTAACCTTAAAACTCTAAATTTACAATATATATATATATATATATATATATATATATATATATAATATAGATATAGGTTTGGAACATATTTTCAAACGTTATAGTTGGCATAAATATATATATATAGAAAACAAACCTTATTTAACTCCTTCCAAGATTTATAAGGGAAAAGAGTGTCCTAAGGTCTTATATTAGCAATAAAAAAATCATTGAATACATAAAACGTAATAATCTCTGGACAAACCAAGTCAAAATACAATACATTTTCAGACCGGAAAGCTCACGTAACCAAAGTATATGCCATTGTATTACAAACTCTAAAAACAAAACACACTTTTGTTTTAAATTAGCATCCAAAATCCTACAACTTCTCGAAGATGATAACCCAACGTGGACAGATCATCTTCCGATCGAGACATCTTGTTGACTACAATTGAATTCGATTTAAAGATTATATGCATCTATCGATACTAACTTATTAAAGAAAATGTGGCATTCAGAGTATAATATTATTAATGCATTATGAGATATATGATGTTAATTATGTTTAAGTCATAAAGAGGAATACCCTATTTTTAAGTGAGTATTTATTTTTTTAAGTGTTATATGAGATGGTAGTCTAAATATTGTCATCTTTTCTTTTCTTTTGATTCAACTCTAAATAAAATATTTCTTCATTTTGATTTCATTTGCATATTTTTGAAGAGTTTGATTTTTGTCTGTTTTTATGACATGTTTTTTCTTATATGTCATGTTTCTCTAACGTTACGATAATTTGACTTCTCGTATTACATTCATCGCATCTTCTAATCAGGAAGGTCACGATCTGTCATAGTTAGATTTTCTTTTACAATAATTTATTGATTCTTTAGAATTTTTGCAGAGTAATATCAAATTGTTCTCTCAATTTCAATGCTTGACGATATTATGTATAGGTCCGACTAGAAACATATAGATATTAATAATTATTAGAATTTTGTGAAAGATGAAAACGTGCATTTAAGGAAGATTTTATTTTATTTTTTTTAATATTCTTTGGATTTTTATACAAGATTGTATGTATTTACATGTCCTATTTCTTATTGAATGAAAACGTAGTTTATTTAAAAGAAAAATGTTTAAGGGTATTATGAGCTTAATAACATAGAAGAATGAAATAAAGGTGTCCTCCAATGGGAGTGTTGAATAAGATTAGACAGTATGGGTGGTGCGAAGAAACCACTCTCATTTCGATATCGACCATAAACTAAAATCGGGATGACGAGGAAAAGCAGACGATTAATTGAGTGGTCCTTGGATAACTCACCTCACCACGTGTTCCGCTACTTAACCAGCCAAACGACTCAGCTTCATCTCTCTCTGAAAGTCAGACAACACTCATTCGTCTATTTGTAAGGTAGCAAAAACCAAAGCCAAGCAAAGGAAACCCAGTAAAAACCATGAACTCATCACCCAATCCTCCACAGCCGCCGCAGTCTTCCACTTCCCACCGCCGCAGCAGATGGCTTCGGCAAGAAATTAGAAACCTTACACCATTACCAAGTCACGTGAGAGCTGGACTGAAGAAGAACACGACAAGTTCCTTGAAGCTCTTCAACTGTGTTCTTTTTTCCAAAGATGAAACTTTTGTTCCAATCTTTTCTTTCTTTATGAAGAAAAAGTTGAATTACAAGTACCCAATACTTTGATTTCTCATTTGAGGGAATTTGTCTTTCTCTATGTTTGTCTTAGTTTCAATTCTTCTGTTTTGGCGAGAGAGAGAAGAATTCTTAATTGAGGTTTTTCCTTGGTTTAACTGCGAAGTGGATGTTTTGTTCGGAGAAATTGATGATAAACTTGGTTCAATTCAAGTTGTTTTGTAGCTCAATTTTGGTTGAGTTTGGTACAAGGATTTAACTAATCATGTTTTTTAAGGCTTTCTCGTCAGCCTGTATTATATTGAACGTCGAACGAGGGCAGCTCTTGTCTTGTTCCTCTTTGTTTCTATTAGGAATATGAGCTATAAGGATAGAATATTGTTCTAGATAAAAAAAAAATCCATGTTAGCCTGTTTAATAGTTTCTATCTTTCTTGCTGACTTAGGTTTGATCGGGACTGGAAAAATTGAAGATTTTGTCTGTTCAAAGACAGTTATCCAGGTTTAAAGACAGATTTGATGTTTTGTCATGAGCTAAGGTTTTCAATCTTTAATCTCAACATTTTTAAATGGATATATTTTGCTGTGTTTACAGATTCGAAGTCATGCCCAGAAATACTTTTTGAAGGTTCAAAAAATGGGACAGTTGCACATGTGCCGCCCCCGTCCCAAACGCAAAGCTACTCACCCTTACCCTCAAAAGGCCTCTAAAATTGGTTTGGTTTTCAAAACTGGATTGTGATGATATTTTTTATTGAATTCTTGGGGTAATTTCATTTTGACATGCTCTATAATACCAGTTTTTAGCCATTACAAGCATCCATGGGTTCCTTCTTCGATAAATACCATTCCACCTAGATATGGTGTCTGGGATGAAGCTTCCATGCTAGCAAACAGTTCCTCGAGCAAAATCATGCCACCACAAGATGAATTTACAAGTCTTCGAGGAGTAAAGGCTGGATTCTTCTCTATGTCGATTCCTTTGTTACAAGTAGTAAACTAGATTTCTTAAAGGAAACTTTCCAGCATTTCTTATGCATATAACGTAACTGATTCAGCTGATATTGGATCAAAGGGCGTAGCTAGGATTAGTAACAGTGGTGTTAGTGGCATTGGAAGCTCTTTCCGGACAATACCTAATTCTGATATGCCAAAGGAAGGGAAGCAAGCATCCATGCTTCACGGTAATGTATGACCATAATCAATTGTTTTCCCCAGTTACTTTATACTTGATGGTATTGGCCAACTTTGTCTTTGATTTGCAGGTATACCTGATTTTGTTGAAGTTTATAGCTTCATTGGAAGTGTCTTCGATCCAGACTCCGAGGGTCATGTACAAAAGCTCAAAGAGATGGACCCCATAAATTTTGAAACTGTTAGTCAAAATGGCACTTTCTTTTTTATTTCAACATTTCATAATTATAGCATCTAAGGAAATACCCTAGTCTATGTTATATGTAATTTTTAGATATGCATATTGTAACGTTATATGCAATCTTCATTATTACAGTGATAATGTTTTAGATATGCATATAATGTTATATGCTGGTTTGTAACCTCTGAGTCCTCCCCTCCCCTCCCAAATCAAATATATATTATATATATATATATAGGCACACCAAACAATCTTCATTATTATATTATAAGAGACCTTATGGTTTAGAGAAAGCCCAAATTAATTTCTGCTTCCAATTAAAACTCTTCAATTAACCTTGCAAATCTTAAGAATATCTTACCAGACCTTCATCGAGTAGGTACATCGAAAACCTAAAGCTCTCTTCTCGGTTAATTTCAACATAACTTGTATTGAGAATCATCAGCAGCTTGCCCTCTTCGAATCAACCTATCTTTTGTTGGTAACTTATGCAAAAGTAGACATCCCAGCTATTATAAACTATCTTGGAATATGCAAAGGGAACCAAATGAGTCTATACGGCTACCACACCACCCTTTCTCTCTTCAATCTTATTTCAGACCCAATATAGTAATTGAGATCTTTCTATGTCTGGTATAAGCAGATGATATGCTAAGTCAGGATACATGCCTTGTTCAAGCCCTCCAATGTTTCACCCCCAATCCACTTTCAGCCTCGACAAATAGATTTGAGACTAGCTGACTCTTGCACCAGTAGCTGACATTCCGATCTCATACACATCTGATTGATCCTCTTCAAAACTGATTTAGCCAAAATGAAGTGCCTGCACCTGTAACTTTGAATATTAAAGATAACTGACTATTAATTGCATTCTCCCAGCATAACTAAGCTGGCTTGCTACCCAGCTATTTTTTCTTTATTTTCTCCAAAAGAGGCATACAATCTGTTTCAGACAGTTTCATTGTGACATGCGCACCTGCAGCAATCTCCCAAGTTTTCCCTCCTTAAATCCTGTAATTCTCCCTATAGAACAAAAAACTCACTTCTATTAGTATTCAGCAGCAATCTTGAAATCAGGTAAAACTGATTTAGAACACACCAAATACCAACAATGGAATCAATAGTCCCTTGGGAAAGACCAAAAGTCATCCATGAAACAATGATGAGACGGCTCAACTTTATGACATTTAGGATGAAATTTGAAGATTCCATTAGCTGCAGCTTCTTTCAATAGTCTAGATAATGCATTCATTGCAAACTCGAACAAGTAAGGGGACAAAGGGTCCCCCTGCCTAATGTTCTGGCACCCTTGAAATAACCCTCAAGTCATCCACTGATGCAGATGGAGAACCTAGTAGTAGTTTTGCAGTCTTTAATCCAATTGACAAAAAATTCTGGGAGCCTCGGTGCTTCAAGCACCTTCAAACTAAATTCCCAGCTAATGGAGTCGAACGCGTTTTGCAAACCTATCTTAACAACGCATCTAGGAGAAAAAGGACCCACCAACTCTTGAGCCATAAGGTTATTATAAAAAATTCTTGTATCTTAAATGAAAGCACTTTGACTACTTGAGATTATTCCAGGAAGATATTTTTTTTAACCTTTTTGCCGTGATTTTCGTGATGCATTTGTACACCAAGAGAAAGGAAATCGGCCTGAACTCCTTACATGATTTGGATTATTGTTTTTTGAACTAACACCACAGTGGTAGAGTTAAAGGCACGACTAATTTCTGACTTTTGAAAGAATATTGCACAGCTTTTACAAGATCCTCCCTTATCCTGCATTGAGAAACAAGCAGTATACCCATTAGGCCTGAGGCTCTATCACTCCTTTGCCCCCTAAAATTTGTCTTGTTCTAAATCATTCGAGTTACTGTGTAATACTTCTTCTTAAACCATGCAGGTTTTGTTACTGATGAAACCTCACTGTTAATTTGTGTAGTCCAGATTTTGAGCCAATTGTAAGTATCAATTTATGTTTATACTTCACACATTATTTCAGTTACGAATTTATTGGCTTAGGAAACTATGTGCTTTCGATCTTTTTCTTCCCAGCAATGTAATTTTTTCTCATAAGTGCTACTTCATATGCATATTCGTCTATAATGCTCGTACTCTGATATACCAATTCCTTCCTGGTTATTTTAACAAGAGAATATATATCTATTAAAAAAAAACAAGTGAATATATACATAATTGAAAGACCGGTCTTAAATGTTTTGACTTCTTGTTTTCCTTGTTGCAGAGGAAGGTTTCTGTCCTCATACGATGTCAACAAAACCCGGTGGGAGTTGCCAAAGGATTTATTCCCCCAAACCAAATGAATGATATGTTGTGTTAAGCTGTTTATTATGTAGGATTTGCTGGAAAGTGCAAGCGTTTAATATTTACTTCTGCCTGCTGCAACTGGAATCCGATTTCTGTTTTCTTTTGACTGCTATCTTAAATCTAAGTGCGTTACGGAATTTGGGCAACATGCTTTTGAGGTTACTAGGTGAAGGAGTTGCAGCCAGCAGCATATAGAAAATGATGGAATGATGATGGAAGGAAGGGTTTCTACCACAGACTTTCAACCTCACCGACTTCCAGCGAGATCAAATGGAATGGTTTGTCACCACGTTTTTACTTATCAACCAGATAAGTTGTGTACATTCTTGTCAGGTTGGTTACTATAGAAGTGACAGTAGGAGAATTCGAAGATATGTGTAATAAGGATCTTGATTCTGCCATTTGATGTAGCTAGAAGGATCTCCATGACAAAACATGATAGATTTCTTATCTATTCTCATATTGGTTTATCAATATATAACTCGTAGTTTGACTAAAATTTGATGGGATGATGGAGGTACAAAGATCAATGGCCCCAGGTTGCTGATATTCAAAGCATTCATGAGCTCAATGAGAAAAATCACACATTGATCAGCTGCGTATGGCAGACTTCTGGCGGAGGATTTGTTTTCAATATGTTTTACCTCTTCATTGGACCTTGTCTATTGCCTTCTGGCATTTAGCAGGTTGCTCGGCTGTACCCTAGTGTTTTTATTAATATCAAATGTACTACTTTTCACATATAACCTGAGCCATTTCAACTTACCAAAAGTATTGGGTTCTATGCTTTTTAGCCTGGTTTAGGATTTAGAATTTAGGGATACTTTTGGTTTTGGACCAGAGTTAGGGATTAAATCAGTTTAAGAGTTAATTGCACCAAAATCCCAATTATGTCTAATTTTGTATTGGTATCTAGATTTGAAGATATTTTCATCAAGTCTCAAATTATCGGATATGTTTTCAGTCATTTCCTTCTTCAATCTAGCAATCTACTAGAGCATCAAACATTAGCTTGGATTAACATGGAGAGATTTAAAATACTTTGATCAAATTTCAATCATGATCACATATGTTACACGAATTTGGATTCAACATGTAAACAAATTGTCGTTTAACATCTCAATTAGATATATTAACCAAATCAAAGCAATTAAAAATTATAATTAAGACTAATATATTAATTATTATTAAAGTCAATTACAACATAATTTCTATAAATGTTTAGATGTTATAACCAAAATCTTAGATAATATATTCAATATTTTTTGTTACCAAAATAGCTGTGTTTTACAATAACTATGCCATAAAAAGATCTTAGATAATATCTTCAAATGCTTTTGTTAACAAGATTAACATAAAGTGTAGTTTTCCCCTTCTCCCTATCCATTAGCACAATAAAGCAATGACAGAAAGTGGAAGTAGAATGAAGAAGACCCACGAAAGGGATAAGCTCATAGAGTGGGCTGCTGACTCACTAACTGGTCAGCTGAAGTCAGGTCAGGTGAGTCAAATCGAGTTCAACAGTGAGGATGTTCATCTAAAATCCATATGGAACACACTGTCAGTGCAAGCAGAGCCTTCGGGGAAGTGTTATTATCCACTTGAGTTCACTCGTGGCAGTAAAATCTACGTTCTTTCTCAAAAAATTCAAAGCACCAAATGATCGCCGTTGGCGGCAACTGCCTTATAAATTCATGACCCAAAAATGAGTTGTTTTTATCTGTGATTTCTCTCTTTCTTAAAAGAAAAGGCTCAATCTTCGGCTGATTCCACGAGATAATGTTCTCGATTTTTTTTCCACGAGATAATGCTTTGGACATATTATTTGTTGAGATAGGTTAATTGTACAGTGACCAAAGAGTCGCCATGCACGCCCAACGACCAAGGAGGTCGCCATGCACGCCCAACGACCAAGGAGGTCTCCATGCACTCGGGCGACCAAGGATTCATGCATGGGGAGATTGGGGAGATCGTGCCATGCACTCGGGCTCGGTTCATGCATGGGGCACTCGAGGCGACCAAGGATTCATGCATGGGGAGATTGAGGAGATCGTGCCATGCACTCGGGGCTCGGTTCATGCATGGGGCACTCGAGGCGACCAAGGATGACCGACCAAGGATCGGTTCATGCATGGGAAGAATGGGAGATCGTGCATGTGTAGGTCGCCATGCACGCCCAACGACCAAGGAGGTCGCCATGCACGCCCAACGACCAAGGAGGTCGCCATGCACTCGGGGCGACCAAGGATTCATGCATGGGGAGATTGGGGAGATCGTGCCATGCACTCGGGGCTCGGTTCATGCATGGGGCACTCGAGGCGACCAAGGATGACCGACCAAGGATCGGTTCATGCATGGGAAGATGGGGAAATCTTACATGTGTAGGTCGCCATGGAGTCCCGGCGACATGGTAGGTCGCATGGAGTCCCGGCGACATGGTAGGTCGCCATGGAGTCCCAGCGACCAAGCTGTGGGTCCTTCACGCCCCAAACTTTAACCCTATCCCTCATCATGCATCCATAGCTGGGAGATTCCTGCATCGCGACCAAGCTTTAACCCTATCACTCATGCATGTGTTGCATCCATAGCTAGCTGGGAGATTCCTGCATCCGTAGCTGCATGCGTTGCATCCATAGCTGCATGATTGCAGCGTTAATTTAGCTGTTAAATGCAGCAAATATTGCTGTTCAATTGAAGACTTTCAATGCTCAATAGTTATACGATTCAATCCTAATATTATTTTTCTTCAATAGTCAAATTTTAATGATTCTGTACAATGATTTTTTGCTTTATATAAATGATATGGGGTTAGGGTAAGAAGAAGGAAGAAGGTAGAAGCAGAAGCAGAACCAGGAGCATAAGCATAAGCACATATAAACTTTGCCGAGAGAAAGAAAATGAAGAAGAAGAAAATAAGATAAATGATCAAACATAGTTCGTGAGGTAATTTTTTATTGTTTAATTTAGTTTATTATATGAATTATTAGTTTGTTAGTTTAGGGTTTAGGGTAAAACTAAAATCTAGTTAATTAGTTTGTTAGTATAAATTATTAGTTTGTTAGTTTAAGTTATATATTATATTATATAAAAAATTAGTTAATTAGTTAATTAGTTTAAGTTATTAAATATAAAAAAAATATTAATTAATTTGTTAGTGTCTTTAAACGTATATTAGATTGTTCATTGAAGTTGAAGTTATATTATAAAAAAATTAATTAGTGCTTAATTAGTGTGTTATTTTAACTAAGTTATATTATAATAAATAAATAGTTTATTAGTTTATATTATATATATTAGATTATATAAAATTAATTTGTGGGAGCTATTACTGTTTAAATAAATTAAACGGTTTACACATACAGGGCATTATTCCACAACATTTGCCCATGTTCAATTGATTCGAGGAAAGAAACAAAGAAGGAAAAGAAAGGAAAGGAGGAAGGCATAAATACGTGAGTAATTTATTATTTTTTGTTGTCCAGTTTTTTGTTGTGTATGTGTAAATTAGTTAGTTAGTAAGTTTATATTAGATTATATAAACTAATTTGTGCGAGATAATTTTTTGTTTAAAAAAAATATTGTGTTTAAAAATATTTAGTGTTGTTTTAAAAAAATATTTTGTTTTATTTATATTGTATGTGTAAATTAGTAAGGAGTAAAAATTAATTGAATGAAATAATCCGGCTAACGCATTATCACGGTATTTTGCCTAACAAATTTGTTTGATATTTTTAAAAAATAAAAAATATTTTCAAACTAATCATGATTATTAGTAATAATTACTAAATGATTAGTATCAATCTAAATCATTAAATATTTATAATAAATAATTATTAGTAATCATGACTAAATCATTATTATTAAATCATTAAATATCAAATCATTAGATTAATAATAATTATTAATAATATTAGTAATCAATCAATTAATCAAGTTAAATAACAAATTTTATTTGATCATTAATATAATAGTATATTATATATTTGATGATTTAATGTTTTATGAAATTATCTTATCTAATATTTTAATCTAAATTAATTTATTTTTTTATTTGTAGAGAAAATGAGCAACAACTTTTTCACGATTGTCCATTATAATGGACAGATTATGGAAAATGAGGTCGGAGTAGTTTTTCAGTCTGAAAAACCAATAAATATGATATTCAAAAAAGACATCACATTTATAGAAATGAAGAATAAGATAGAAAGAAAAATTCGAGTTGTAGTTGATGGTTTGAGGTATAGGTTTATGATATGCCCCAACCCAGTCAGATATGCTGCAGTTCCACTTGAAGAAGATGATGATATTGGAACCATGGTTGGATTACATGAGTCAACCAATATAGCAGTTATTGAGTTATTTGTTGATGTGCGTAACATATGTGATGTTCTTGGGTCATCAAGAGGTGTGGCTCAAAATCCATCTGAAATGACTTTATATAGTCAGTTTGAGGAGCCGACAAACAGGTTCCGAATAGTTTTCCTTGAGATCCAGCTCATATTTGCTTTAGGTAACATATACCAAAAATCAGATTCTTTGAAGATGTAAGCATGCAGACAAGCAATCCAGATCGAACCTTCCCCCACTAGAATACTTGCTAATTTCAGGATACATGCCTTGTTCAAGCCCTCCAATGTTTCACCCCCAATCCACTTTCAGCCTTCGACAAATAGATTTGAGACTAGCTGACTCTTGCACCAGTAGCTGCTACATTCCGATCTCATACACATCTGATTGATCCTCTTCAAAACTGATTTAGCCAAAATGAAGTGCCTGCACCTGTAACTTTGAATATTAAAGATAACTGACTATTAATTGCATTCTCCCAGCATAACTAAGCTGGCTTGCTACCCAGCTATTTATTTTTTCTTTTATTTTCTCCAAAAGAGGCATACAATCTGTTTTAGACAGTTTCATTGTGACAATGCGCACCTGCAGCAATCTCCCAAGTTTTCCCTCCTTAAATCCTGTAATTCTCCCTATAGAACAAAAAATCTCACTTCTATTAGTATTCAGCCGCAATCTTGAAATCAGGTAAAACTGATTTAGAACACACCAAATACCAACAATGGAATCAATAGTCCCCTTGGGAAAGACCAGAAAGTCATCCATGTAACAATGATGAGACGGCTCAACTTTATGACATTTAGGATGAAATTTGAAGATTCCATTAGCTGCAGCTTCTTTCAATAGTCTAGATAATGCATTCATTGCAAACTCGAACAAGTAAGGGGACAAAGGGTCCCCCTGCCTAATGTTCTGGCACTCTTGAAATAACCCTCAAGTCATCCACTGATGCAGATGGAGAACCTAGTAGTAGTTATGCAGTCTTTAATCCAATTGACAAAAAATTCTGGGAGCCTCGGTGCTTCAAGCACCTTCAAACTAAATTCCCAGCTAATGGAGTCGAAGGCGTTTTGCAAACCTATCTTAACAACGCATCTAGGAGAAAAAGGACCCACCAACTCTTGAGCCATAAGGTTATTATAAAAAATTCTTGTATCTTAAATGAAAGCACTTTGACTACTTGAGATTATTCCAGGAAGATATTTTTTTTAACCTTTTTGCCGTGATTTTCGTGATGCATTTGTACACCAAGAGTAGAAGGAAATCGGCCTGAACTCCTTGACATGATTTGGATTATTTGTTTTTGAACTAACACCACAGTGGTAGAGTTAAAGGCACGACTAATTTCTGACTTTTGAAAGAAATATTGCACAGCTTTTACAAGATCCTCCCTTATCACATCCCAAGCTGCATTGAGAAACAAGCAGTATACCCATTAGGGCCTGAGGCTCTATCACTCCTTTGCCCCCTAAAATTTGTCTTGTTCTAAATCATTCGAGTTACTGTGTGTAATACTTCTTAAACCATGCAGGTTTTGTTACTGATGAGAAACCTCACTGTTAATTTGTGTAGTCCAGATTTTGAGCCAATTGTAAGTATCAATTTTATGTTTATACTTCACACATTATTTCAGTTACGAATTTATTGGCTTAGGAAACTATGTGCTTTCGATCTTTTTCTTCCCAGCAATGTAATTTTTTCTCATAAGTGCTACTTCATATGCATATTCGTCTATAATGCTCGAGTACTCTGATATACCAATTCCTTCCTGGTTATTTTAACAAGAGAATATATATCTATTAAAAAAAAACAAGTGAATATATATACATAATTGAAAGACCGGTCTTAAATGTTTTGACTTCTTGTTTTCCTTGTTGCAGAGGAAGGTTCTGTCCTCATACGATGTCAACAAAAACCCGGTGGGAGTTGCCAAAGGAGTTATTCCCCCAAACCAAATGAATGATATGTTGTGTTAAGCTGTTTATTATGTAGGATTTGCTGGAAAGTGCAAGCGTTAATATTTTACTTCTGCCTGCTGCAACTGGAATCTGATTTCTGTTTTCTTTGACTGCTATCTTAAATCTAAAGTGCGTTACGGGAATTTGGGCAACATGCTTTTGAGGTTACTAGGTGAAGGAGTTGCAGCCAGCAGCATATAGAAAATGATGGAAATGATGAGTGGAAGGAAGGGTTTCTACCACAGACTTTCAACCTCACCGACTTCCAGCGAGATCAAATGGAATGGTTTGTCACCACGTTTTTACTTATCAACCTGATAAGTTGTGTACATTCTTGTCAGGTTGGTTACTATAGAAGTGACAGAAGGAGAATTCGAAGATATGTGTAATAAGGATCTTGATTCTGCCATTTGATGTAGCTAGAAGGATCTCCATGACAAAACATGATAGATTTCTTATCTATTCTCATATTGGTTTATCAATATATAACTCGTAGTTTGACTAAAATTTGATGGGATGATGGAGGTACAAAGATCAATGGCCCCAGGTTGCTGATATTCAAAGCATTCATGAGCTCAATGAAGAAAAATCACACATTGATCAGCTGCGTATGGCAGACTTCTGGCGGAGGATTTGTTTTCAATATGTTTTACCTCTTCATTGGACCTTGTCTATTGCCTTCTGGCATTTAGCAGGTTGCTCGGTTGTACCGTAGTGTTTTTATTAATATCAAATGTACTACTTTTCACATATAACCTGAGCCATTTCAACTTACCAAAAGTATTGGGTTCTATGCTTTTTTAGCCTGGTTTAGGATTTAGAATTTAGGGATATTTTTGATTTTGGACCAGGGTTAGGGATTAAATCAGTTTAAGAGTTAATTGCACCCAAAATCCCAATTATGTCTAGATTTTGTATTGGTATCTAGATTTGAAGATATTTTAATCAAGTCTCAAATTATCGGATATGGTTTCAGTCATTTCCTTCTTCAATCTAGCAATCTACTAGAGCATCAAATATTAGCTTGGATTTAACATGGAGAGAATTTAAAATACTTTGATCAAATTTCAATCATGATCACATATGTTACACGAATAGTTTGGATTCAACATGTAAAACAAAGATTGTCATTTAACATCTCAATTAGATATATTAACCAAATTATCAAAGCAATTAAAAATTATAATTAAGACTAATATATTAAATTATTATTAAAGTCAATTACAACATAATTTCTATAAATGTTTAGATGTTATAACCAAAATCTTAGATAATATATTCAAATATTTTTGTTACCAAAAATAGCTATATGTTTTACAATAAACTATGCCATATAAAAAGATCTTAGATAATATCTTCAAATGCTTTTGTTAACAAGATTAACATAAAGTGTAGTTTTCCCCTTCTCCCTATCCATTAGCAACAAATAAAGCAATGACAGAAAGTGGAAGTGGAATGAAGAAGACCCACGACACAGGGATAAGCTCATAAAGTGGGCTGCTGATTCACTAACTGGTCAGCTCAAGTCAGGTCAGGTGAGTCAAATCGAGTTCAACAGTGAGGATGTTCATCTAAAATCCATATGGAACACACTGTCAGTGCAAGCAGAGCCTTCGGGGAAGTGTTATTATCCACTTGAGTTCACTCGTGGCAGTAAAATCTACGTTCTTTCTCAAAAAATTCAAAGCACCAAATGATCGCCGTTGGCGGCAACTGCCTTATAAATTCATGACCCAAAAATGAGTTGTTTTTATCTGTGATTTCTCTCTTTCTTAAAAGAAAAGGCTCAATCTTCACGTGTCTTTCCTTTCTTTTCTCCATTCTTTTCTCCTTCCCTTTCATTCCACGTTCTATCCTCTCTCTTTTTCTTTTTGTTTCTTTGCTTTTTTATCTTGACGGTGCTTTCTTTCTTGCAAACGTATCTCTCTCTATATATACGTGTCTCATTTTGTTGGATGCTAAACAAGGATTATTAATAGGCTTAAAAGATTTGATTGGGATCAGTAGGTGCAATTTGTTGAGAACAAAAGAATGGAGGGAAAGAAAAAAGTCGGGTCGTCATCTTCTTCCTTTACTTCAGAGCTCTTTGGTTCAAAAGATTCTCCGTCACCTTCCACTGGGATTTTCGGCTCTATATTTGCTCCTCCCTCTAAGGTATTTCTTTGGTATTCCATGTTCTTTGATAAGGGGATTTTGAGTTTTTATTGTTTATTTTCAAAGATTGAATATTTTTTTTTTCAATTGAGTAATTTTTGACGGTTCAAGAAACTATTGTTTTAAAGTTGTTTGTTTTTATTCTATAAACGTGTTTGATGTTACTTGGATACTCTTTTCTTGTTTCTTTTTCCATGTTTTCTTCTTTCTCAAATGCATGCAAGCTCTCTATTGAGACCATTAATCTCTTTGTGCATCTCTATTGTCTCAGTTTTTTTAGATTTTGTTTAGCGAATTTTAATTTCTCCAAGGTGGTGTTGATTTAGGTACTTGGAAGGGAGTCTTTACGTCCTGCTGGGGCCAGAGGCCAGCTTTCTCCAATTGAGCCATGGAACACAAATCCTGGACCCTCTGGTTTGTGCATCAGTCTTAGCTTTTACATGACTGGGAATTGAATTGACACAAACAAGATCACTTTTTTGTAGTTCTTGGTTTTAAATTGTGTAGTGATAATCTGAAGTTTACCGACTTCGCTTGATTTTACAAATTAGTTCTCTTATTCCTAATGATTCTGAACACCAAGTTGTTATTGAATTCTCAGTTTTGTATCTGAGACACTGTAAATCATTAGGTGATTCTTCCAAAGGACATAAGGGTGAAAATCTGAATATACGAGACGAGAGTTACATGAATCAGGAGCAGAGAGTGCAACCGTGTCCTTTAAGTTCTTCGATCTACTATGGCGGGCAAGATGTATACCCTAGTTCCCAGAGCCAGGGGTCTGGATTGAACTCTGTGGTGCGTCAACCAACTTATCCTATAGGCATCACATATCGAAAACATTCTTTAGTTTGACGAGTCTTTCAATTTAGGAATCTGCTAACATGTTTTCATATCATTCCAGTACAAGAAAGATGGTGGAGAAGATGATTCGGGGAGTGCAACAAGAGGAAACTGGTGGAAAGGTATGAAATCATCTGATGGGATACACTGAGCATAGTGGAGAACTTTTTAACTGTAAGGTTGACATCTTTGTTTTTCTTTTGCTATATTTTCTTTCTGCAGGGTCTCTATATTACTAAGAGCTTGTTTTCCTCTCAACATACTCGTATCAAGGTACCATTAGTCAGATTTCCATAGTCACTTGAGTTTTATACCGATCATATCATAATTCATTTCACAAATAATACTGTTTTTAATAAAGTTTATCGATCGAATAATATGCAAAAGGCTTAAAATGACCACCATATTCCCTTTATCCTTTTTCTGATATTGCATCTGTTTGTTGAATTTATCCTTGGCAGATACATAGGAATTAGGAACATACAGATAGCGGTTTAATCCATCTCTGGTTATACATGTGGGAGATGGACTTTAGTAATCAAAACCTCGCAGCCAGCTTGCCGGTATTACTTTCTCGAGTCAAACAAATATATGTAGTTATATGGGTCACCGTTGCTTGCTGTGAAGGATAATGGAACTTGCTCTACTTTTTGGTTCTGTTAAGAATATGTGCTCAAGTGACTTGATATAATATCATAGATAATGAAATTTCTGCTTTTGCTCGAGTAATCTAGTATCCATGGATGGATTCTTTTTCTGCTTTTGCTTTTTGTTTTGGATAGGAATAATCTTTTATCTTGTTATCCAAGTCTTGTCATGATTTTCTTATCTTTAGATCCTTCAATTACAATCCAAAGGACATGAACTAAACCCAGTTTTAGTTTTTGCTTTAAATAAGTCAAAAGGATGAATTTGACAGAACATTTTTTCCCTTTAAAACTCTCTTTGAGGTTACCTGAAACACTAAAAGCCCCACCTTTCCACTTCATGAACACTCACAGATTGTCTAAGATGACACGCACCATATAAAGTTAAAGACAACCTTCAATTGCTATGGCCCACAGACCACAATTATCTTGAAAATCATCCAATGGTTTTGTCTAAAAATTTAATTATTGGATACAATAATATAAACAAGGCTTTAAGGTTTTTATTCATACAAAGGTAAGCTTTAGCTACATATTCAGTAGTACAAGTGAGCTCCAGCATCAGTTTTCCAGTTCCCAAATTTCCACTTCAAGGAAGCGTATAAGCTGCAAAACAAATAGTTGTGATGTAAGAACTTGGAAATGGAAGTGTAAAAAAATGGAACAATGGAAAATCATGACTCTCGTCCGCATTTGTAACCCACGGGACGGTTGGCGAAGTTGCAGCGTTTAGGGATGGTTATGGCGTTCTCGAGCTTTAATTCCGGACGCTTTGGCGGTGTTGGATAGCAAAATGGCGCAGAGACAGCTCGGATATTTGCCTAAGTTCTTCACTGGGCGCAGCAAGCGGCTGAAACAGGAGCTTTCGCGTCTTGTGAGGCTTCAGCACATGGGGCTAGCTTCAGTGCCTCATTATCGGGAGATGATTTACCACATTCCCCTGCTGCATTAACCTTCCCTATCTCCAAAATGCTAACAAGCACAATCAACCCCATAACACATAAGTTTCAATGCAGCTGCCATTTTTTTTCTATCTGAAAAAATCCTCAACTGAACCTGATCCTGAAATCTGAATGCAGGTTGCCCAATCTTAGGGGGTATTTATACTGAATCTTGAGCACCAATCTACTAATGGTATAATGCAGGTGGCAATAAAGAGACAAATTTATAATAGTAGCACTTTGATTTAAGAATTAATTATCTACTTCCTGTTTAAGTCCCATCATACATCAAAGTATTCTACCATTAATAATCATCATAACGACTCTGTCAAACCGTCAAAAGCTTGCCATTTAGCCACTTCAACCCACTATTTCTGCAACTCTACCAACAACAACCCAATAAAGTGCTTGTCCAAATCATGGTATTTTTTGGTAACGTGTAATCAACTGCTTCGTTTATGTAAGGAACCACTTTACAATGCAACCACCTCTACTAAAGAAGAAAACATGGAGTTCGTCTAGATGGTGGCTAAAGAATTACATTATCACAAGTGACTACTTCCCCGACACTACTACCCAATAGCTTCAGTCCTGTTCAATACAGCTAACCAATATGAAATGATTGGCCAAGATTACCAGGTTAAGCCTCCTAACATTCATTATGGATATTACTCTGCTTCTAATGATTTCAAATGCATGCAGGGTTTTATGGAACTAAAATTTCAATAACTCAGGATTTGTCATGTCAAAAAATTAAAAAAACCTAATAAATATTTTAAAGAAAATACTCTCAATATTCTAGAGAACGATTTATAATAATTTAAAATTTAAAAGTGATTTTCGAAATTATTCCAAGAGTTTCAAGATATGGTTAAAGGACTAATCTGTAAAAATCAAAATTTAGGGGCAATGTGACTTAATTGGACTATATTCAATCCAAATTTAGGAGTGATTCAAAATTTAGGGGCAAGCTAAATTTTCATACTACTACACCGATATCAGTACCATTCACATGATCGTCGATATTCAAATTAAGTATTTATTTAGTCTTATCAGTTAAATATTTATTTTTGATATCAATATGCTAAGAACAATATTGATATCAATATCTAAGATTGTTTTTATCCAATTTTTTCACAAGTTCAAGAAGTATCGATACTGTAAAAATAATATCAATATCAAAATATAAAAATAATCATTATAAGACTTAAAGTTCCCTCTAATTTAATTCGGCAAAAGTTCCGAGATAATGTATCCCAATTTTTTTAATTACCCAAATAATGCACCGTGAAAATTATTTCCAAGAATAGGCAATTTTCTACAATAAACCGTGAAGACGCCTTGTAGTCGCTGCGAGCTGACGAAGATGCCGTGATTTCTAGGAGCCTTTAAGCCACAACACAATGAAGACGTGGTGTAATCCCTGCGTTTTCGAGATGATGACACGGTGATTACCATGCGTCTTCAAGCCTCCATCACCTGCACCATTGTTGCTTGTACAGCCTTCATGCATGCAGTTCGTGAAGCCCATGTCCGTGCAGCATAGCTACCTGCAACATGCATGTGATGCATCCAAAGTCGCACGTGAATGGGAATTATTGATTTTGTTTGGTTGGGTTGATGAGGGTTGTAATATTATATATTGGTGTGGGGATAGTTTGTTTACTTACCCGGTGAAGACATAAAAAAATTTTGTGTAGTTGAAAGAGAAGAAAAAAAGTGGGTGTTGAAGAAACCAGTGAAAGCAAACAAGTGTGATATCAAGCACGTGAATGAGAATTATTGGTTTGGTTTGGTTGGGTTGGGTTGGGTTAGTGAGGGTTGTAATATTATATATTGGGTGGGGATAGTTTGTTTACTTACCCGGTGAAGACATAATTTTTTTTTTTGTGTAGGTGAAAGAAAAGAAAAAAAGTGGGTGTTCAAGAAACCAGTGAAAGCAAACAAGTGGGATATCAAGAACGTTTATTTAGTTGGCCATTATCATTGTTTGGTGATCGGTATATTCGTTCAAAATATAGGGTTGTAAGTATAATTTTTTTTTAAATTTCTTTTATTGTTATGTCTTAATTTATATTTTTTATTCAAATTAATTTAAGTTAAACTTTTTTTCTATAGATTTGTTGGAGTATGGTAGCACAAAATAATCTTTTGATACTAGATGATTGACATATTTATTCTCATTTGGGAGCGTTGGTATTAGTATATACTAATAATATTTTTTTTAGAATGAGTTATTAAAAACAAAAATTATTTTTATGATTAATTCAATGGATTAAAAAAATTGCAGGAAGACGAGCAAAAACACCTTCGATTATAAATCAATGTTTGTATGAGCCAAATGATTTTATTATCTATAATTTGAAAGTGGTTGGATTTTACGATGTCACGTTTGTTCGAGGCTTCAAGCTGGTCCTGGTTTGATCAGTGCGTTGATTGAACGATGGAGACATGAAACTTATACATTTTATCTACCGTGTGGAGAATGCATAATCACTCTCGAGGATGTGGCCCTACAACTATGGCTCCCGATAAATGGGATGACAGTGGTAAGGAAAAATGAAAGGAACCTGAATTTAGTTTGTGAGAAATACCTCGGGAAGACGCAGAAGCCACCAGGAATTTTAAAAGGGTCGCGTTTGAAGCTGCCATTGTTAGAGAAAGAATTTAAGCTCGATCATGATAGTACCAATAAAGAATTTATAAATCCAACTCGAGCATATATACTCTTACTGATTAGGAAAATTTTGATGCCGGATAATTCTGGTAATCTACTTCATGTACAATATCTCCCATTGCTGGACTTATTTTGGGAAGTAGTAAATATTGATTTACTGTTTATTTATATATATTTATTTATTTATAACTATATAATTTACTATTTCTTTATATAGTTTATTTTGAGGTCGTACGATATTGGAGAATAATATCATTTGTGCCGCTACATGCGCAACATATTTGGGAGGGTTGTGAATATTGGTGTGTTGTTACATCCTTGATACATTTTGCTTTTGTTGAGTACCAGAGGGCCGATAGAGTGTTGAGGCAGTTCGGCTTCCATCAGCCTATTCCGCGAATTCCAGAAAATGATGATGGTCTCCACGCAATAGATTCACGGAGCAGACCCGTAGTTGATTGGGTTACAAAGCATGCCTACTACATCAATCTTTGGAACAACATAGCAACATTGATGCTGACTCTCACTCCTATTCAAGACGATGACTTCGATGTGCAAAATTCGGGTTACCATATCTATTCACGCTGCACATTCATCCGGGTAAGTTTTTTTAATTAAATGCATGTAATTATTGTTGAATCATTGCCTTAAATAATTATTACTAATCATTGGTATTAAATTAGTAATCATTATTAAATCATTATTAGTAATCATTATTAAATCATTAATATTAAATCATTAAATATTATGATTAAATCATTAGTATTAAACCGTTATTAGTAATTTTTATTAAATCATTAGTATTAAATCGTTATATTTAAATCATTAAATCATTATTAATAATTATTATTAAATCATTATCATTAAATCATTTAAAAATATTCGAATAGAAATAATATTTACAAATATTCATTCAAATACAAATATTACGAAGCCTTGCATCGTGGTAGATTCGAACAATTTTTTTTCGAATAACCTTCACCCTAACATAATCCACATCTCTTTGCTTGACATTTCTCTCTAATATGAATATCCATAATGGTATGGATACGAGTGGATTAAGGTTGACCTTTTGGACTTCTACGAAGCATTGAATTTGGTAACCATTAATCGTGATCATATTTCTACTAATATGATTCATTTGGAATCTGCCTGAACTTATAGTTGTCGACATTTAATATCATCTGCAGATGGAAGCACCCTTCAACATAGGTGTAAGTGTTTGTTCCAATATGTATGAATGCAATAACTACATGATTATACGGATATCTCCAAGCCTAAAAGCGACCACAATCATACCATCTTTGTCGTAAATCAACTCTAAATGTTTCTCGTTCTCTTCCTTCATTACAACGTATGCATGCAATGACAGTAAAAGTATGTCCAATTCAATCAAAGTCATGAACAAACATTGCAATTGTTAATTGCTCATTCACTTGCATTACTTCCACCACTATATGAGCC